TTTGATCCTTCCATTTCTTAACAATTGAAATGTCCTGAAAGAAAAACAAACAAAACTTTCAAGTTGGTAAAACCACATTAGTATCAGGTCATCCTATAAATAATGTCTAAAATTTGATAGTGATAGATTGAGGGATATTATCACAATTGTAAACTGTCTAAATGATAAAAATATATACTATCAGGCCATACTATAAATAATGTCTAAAATTTGATAGCGATAGATTGAAGGATATTATCACAATTGTAAACCGTCTAAATGATAAAAATACATACTATCAGGCCATCCTATAAATAATGTCTAAAATTTGATAGTGATAGATTGAAAGATAATTTTGATATCAGTCAGAGCTACATGACACAAAAGTGATAACAGCAGAGTTATTTGTTGCAAATTCTAAAAAGACACCATTTACCATGTCTGGAAAATTAAGTATTTTTTTCATTCTCTCCAATTGCTGTGTAAAACTGACAGCAAGAAAGGCTTCAGGTACTTAGGGCACACTTTGCTGATGTATTACATTTACCTGTGGCACCCCTCAATGGTTCTTGAGGAAATGACAAATTTTGAATGCTATCAAACAAGCTGTAATCTGTTCACACCAAGCTGTAACTAATTATAATGCACTCTGTTTTATGTTGTTTTAAGTTTGATTTGTATTTACTTATCAAGGTGGATATCCAGCTGACCTGTGGCAAATCTTTCAGCTGAAAATGAATTTAAATCACAAGGCCATTCTGATTATAACAACTATTTATTAGTGACAATTACTACACAATTTCATTTTTTTTTTTAGCTGGAGTAAATGCTTGTCTCTACACAAGGACTTTTAGGTATTTTACTATGAATAGTCAGTTTAACAATAGTTGTGTTTAAGTCAGTTTCTTCCTTTTGAATTCAAATCCGTGATGGATTATGATGCTTTGGATAATGCTATATCTGCAGTACTAAATCAAAATGGAAGGTCTGTCACATTTAAAGATGCAAAAGTGATATAATGTCATTGAAAAAGAAGATTTAGTCATGTTGTGTCTCTTACACTAAACCGGACATTGACTGCTCGACAATGTGAAAACGCATCTACGCATCATAGCTTGACACATGTTTTTGGTATTGAACAAAATAAAATTAACTTTATATATTGATTTTCTAAGCATAGCTTAGATGTGGCACAAGGCCGAAAGTATTGGACACCCAGTGAGGATCGAACTCACTATTCAGTTGTAACTGTTTTAGCAAGACAAGCTTGCTAACCATTACACCACACTGAGGTGCCCAAAAAGATGATTTTCTAAGTATAGCTTAGATATGGCACAAGGCCGAAAGTATGGGGCACCCAGTGAGGATTGAACTCGCTACTCAATTGTAATTTGTTCTAGCAAGACAAGCTTGATAACCATTACACTACATTGGGGTGCCCAAAGAACTTTATATATTGGCCAACAGAAATATCTCCCGCTAAAAGATCCAGACTGTGATTTGGAGCCGATACGATAGATATAAATTCCCCGATTCAACACAGCAAAGAGCAGAGACAGAGAGGGAGAGAGACCCGGCTGAGATGTCGACATGCAGAGGCTGGTCAAGAACGCAGCAAGCACACTGAACATGATACTATCATTTTCAACTTTCCTCCTTCGATGATGCTGTCTTCACAAAACATCAGCCGACAGCCACCAACATTTCTTTCTTCCTCTCCCACTCTGTTGCCGTTTACAATAGCAACAGATAGTATGGTGGCTTTATATATATGTAAATAAATTATACATTTATTTACCCAAAATACGGTGTATTTCTTTTCCTCAAATTTATGTTTGCTGAGGCGAAGAAGAAATTAACCTCTTCAGCAGTAACAACAACAGCCACAAGTTCTGCCTTCCAGGTTACTCATTCTTTGTCTCCGCAACAGTCATCACAATATGTAAACAGAGATATCTTTTGTCATGATGCTGTTATAAATGATATACTGATGCCAGATCAGTGTCTTTTATATATGATAACAAAAGTTTACAAAAGTAAAGAATGCTAAAATCAATGAATGAAAAATGGAGCATGGTGAACTAAGTTTTGACATATCAACCTGAGAGAATTACATGAGAAATTATGACATCCAGGTGTATCAAGACCTCTGCATTTTGTAAGATCAAAAAATCTCTTTTCAAGTGAAGACATATGCACAAATTGCAGAGTTTGCACTGAATTAAAACCCCAGTTTTATCAACCTCCCAAAGGTACACTGAAAAGCTACTGGCGTGATGGAACATACCAGTATTGAGTTTAAGGTACCTCTCCCAACATTTAGTTGTGATCCATACTTGTTCTTAATTGTTGATGAATATTCTTGCTACTCATGTGTATTTCTATGCCTGAATATAGAGACTGTTATTAAATGCCTACAAACCTTGTTTAGTATGTGTGGATTGCCAGGTTATATTCACTCAGAGGTTATTCTCTTATATCACAAGAATTGAACGAGTATTTAATTATTAAAAGTGTTACTACCAGCTTCAACACCAGATAATTTCAAGGTAATGGACAGAGCACTATATTGGGATTATATAGAAAACTATTCACTTGAATCTTAAGCCTTGGAAGCTCATAGAAAAACATTGGGAACAAGGCTCTTTTACCACAGGCCCTTCATTCTATTCGATCTCTGTTGTATACTGCTACTAACTGTACACCCCATGAGCATTTCTTCAGGGATCAATTATGTATTTTTCATGGGAATTCACTCAATCTTGGTTACTGAAACCTGGACCTGTGGTGTTAAGATGATTTGACCAGACTAGCAAGAGCAACTCCTTAGTAGATAAAGTTGAACTGATTGATAGCAATCCAACCTTTGCCAACAACATCAAGTATACCAACAGAAGACAATCAACTGTGCCTATTTGAGATTTGGCTCCCTGCCCTGATCATTCAGAACCCTCCCCACTTTGACAAAACCTCTACTGAAATTCTCCACTGAAGAAAGCTGTAATCCAACACCTGTTCAATCACCTATTCTAGGAGGAAAGAATAACATAAATCCATGACTTGTGAGTTCACATCTCTTTAGTTTCAGGATCAAAACAGTGTTATTGAAAGTTTGCAACAGACATTTTTATTTAACAGTTGTACTCCACAATTAATTCAGTGAAACTTGAATTTTATTTCAAGTCTATCAGAAAACTTTTGACACATAAAACCAGTTGGATAAATTGTTTTTATTTCTTCATTGATGTTTTACTCCTATCACATAAGCAATATCAAAACATAACTGAAAAAGAAAATGTAAAAAAAATCATTACTATAGCTGAGCAACCCTACTAATAAAAGATTTTCAGATTCCACACAGCGTTTTTAAAGTAAAAAAGGCTTGCCATAGAAACAACTTTTTCATACATTTTTTGCTGTTATATTTTGATAATGTTCGTTTGATAACAGCAAAATGTCAAAGAAATAAAAATAAATATCTAACTGGTTTTCAATATGCATTCCATCTATTCTAACATACACATACTTATTAAATATATTTTCTAAAGGAGTGGAATGTTGAGTGGTTTAACGTGATTACCTCATTGTTATATTTATTTGTAGTTGACAGAAGAATTCTTTTCTTTTTTTACTGAAAATGAAATGAATAAAAACATAACAATAAGACCTTTGAGATACATTAATGACAAGAATGTGTATTTTATTTTCTTTTTTGTGATGTTAAAATATTGGCATTGTGTGTGTTAAAAAAAATCTTGTCAGTTTTATGATCGTCTCTTGTTTAAAAGTTAGTGTTTGCTTGTTTTTGCTTGCTCCAAGAATTTCGTGGTTAAGGGTAGCATTTGAAACTGTCAACTGTGGATTTTCACAGAACGAAGAAGATATAGTTTTTGTGTTGTTAATTTACTACTGCTCGTGGTGGAAAGGTCGTTTTTATAATGATGGAGATGACGTTTCAGATTTTTAGAATGATGAAATATTATTTATCTTTATTTCAAGGATGATGAACTATCCTTATCATCAATCATCACTGGTGGAAAGGTTGTTTTTAGAATGATGAAATATCATTATTCTGGCTTATAACAATTTAAAAAAGATTTACTTTTATTTTTAGAATTTAAAAAAAAAGTACAAAAAATGATGACTGACTGATTTTCTAAACGTAACTCAAATGGGACACACAAGGCCGAAAAGTATGTACGTGGCACCCAGTGAGGATCGAACTCATTATTCAGTTGTAATGTAATTGAATTAGCGAGACAAACTTGCTAACCATTACACAACGTCGAAGTGTTCATGGTTGACTGCTATGATTTTAAGCTATAAATAGTGTGTGACGTCACACACATGTTTGTAAACAATTTACAGTTGCTCGCAATACGAGGAACTAAAAAACACATTTGTTTAAAATAACCACAGCTGTGGAAGCAACAGAATCTAAAACGAGCAATTATTTTATTACACAAATAAATGCAGGTACTGAAATGGTTTTTAAAAAAAAAAAAAAAAGGAGAATTGAATTTGGCAGACGACTACGAGTAGATGTGTAAATTCTCACGTTTCCGTGATGTCATACACACACGGATCAAGTTACTTGCCTTCACCCGTGTAATATTTGTAAATAAAAAAGCATAATTTAAAAAAAAATCCGATATGCTATAAACTGACAGTTTTTAAAGTCGGCAAATTCAACCAAGAATATTTAAGTTGAATTCTTAAAATGTTTGAAATTCAAAATGGTAAATAAATACATTTAAAAAATAAATAATACATAAAGAATGGAACTTACAACGGTCAATGTCATGAACCTTCTTTTAACAATAATTAGTCAAATAGGTTTCATATCTCCCAGTCTTGAGACAATTTTTTTGTTCGCTGACGAGAGTGCAACAAGCAACATAAAGATTAAAATGCAGCCATATTTGGTATCGTAACTCGCGCCATTTCTCAAAAAAAACGAAGAGGTTGACAAAGGGAGATCACTCCTATTTACTATCCTTGACCAAACCATAAATAGAGAAATGACGTTGCCACGTGTTTGTCAGAAAGAGTTGTTGCAGAAATTGACCGAGTTGGGCATTGCATATGATAAAATTGAGCATCCTGAGGTAAAACTAAACTTCTCTGTATAAGAAATGATGTAGTATCAATAAAACTTTATTTTAACATGTTCAATCACCATAAATGTTTAGTTTTTTATTGCTTAGGTTAGGAATTTCATAGACGAACTCTTGTTTTTGTTTTAATTTAATTTATTTTAAAATCACTTCCCTTAAACGATACTTATTCAACCCATACTACCAGCTCACAAGTATAACTCACTAGCATAATCACCATGTGGTATAGTACCAATAAAGTGCTCCCGTGAAAAAAAGAACGTTCACAGGACATAGTGAAAGCAAAAGATACGAAGGGAAACTGAATTGAGTTTTTTTGAGTGAATAGATGGTAGAATTAGTAGTAGAACAAAAAGAGATAGTAAAGCTAAAGCAGCAATAGTACGTTAAACAACAAAAGACAGGAAGTTGTGAAGAGCCGTGACCACTCACGTCCTGAAAGGACGTGTCATAAGAAAGAAGAAGAAAATATTCATTATTCTCAGTGTATTGTTCCGCACCCTAGTTTTAGTAAAAAAACTATTTGTTTTTACTTTACATTTACTGTTTACAATCATTACAATTTATTTTTGTAAATAATTTGAAACATTTTTGTGTCCATATTCAAAGATTTATCAAGAGACCTGATGTGGATATTCAGGACAGGCGTACCAAAAACACAAACAAGGAAGTCGAATAATCTTTTCATGTGAATGAAAAAAAGCTTTTATCAATCCGTGGCGAAAAAGGCTTTTTTATGCATTTAAATAAAAAAAAAAAAAAACGTTGATTGGCCACCCATCGATAATAATTAAACCGCCATTACAAACGAAAAATGTAAACAAATTTTTTAAATCTCTTAAAAATCCAGTATTTATCCAAGAGACGTGTTTCAAAGTAAGTTACTAAGGAGTAATAACTGGATTTTGTAAATGTAAATAATGCTTACTTTTTGCTTAAAAAACAATATAAAATAACGTTTATTTACACAAGGTAATCTGTAAGTTGTCTTGTCACCAATGTCATAGTTTGTAGAGAGTGCGAAATAATAACTCCCTTCACCCATTCCCTTCAAATTCGGGTGAGCTGAGGAATAAGAGGGAAAGGAATTTGCGTGCATATGTGAAATTTTCCTTGGACCAATGAAAACCTTGCCTTCACAGAAATTAGCTGGTCAGCCAAGAAGGAAAGAAAGTAGTGAGTCTATGCAAAATTGTAATATAAAAATGAGAAAAATTAAAGAGAGAAGAATGACTGAAGTCATGTGAAAAGTTTTGTTTCAGTTCCTTGTGGCCAGCATTAAAGTTGTAAAATTATTCACCAATTATATTATTGGGTTCTAATCAAGCATGTTGCACTTCAAAGAATTTTCTCTCAACAATCCAAGAAAGCTAAGTATTTCAAACTATCTTTGTCTACTTTTGAATGTATGCAACCATATATCTCTTCAGTGATAACAAACTCTCTTACCTTTGTTTTAAACATTTTTTAATATCATTTTGTGTCAGATCATTTAATCTGTTGTATGAACATTTCTTCTTCATGATAATAAATGAAAACTACAGATTTTAAGAATTTTGAATTACTTTCCTAAAATAAGCTACTGACATGTGGGTAAACCAACTATTCATTATTTGTCTATATCTCTGAGATGAGGTGTTATGATTACTTACATTATTTGGATAGTTATCCTCATCCTCATTGGCATAGTCACAACATTTTGGAAATTCCAATCACCGGAAGAAGGTTTGAGTGTACAATGGCTGAAATGTGAATATGGCAAAGAAGATGAGGATAACAGTCTGAATAATGTAGTCAACTATCCATTTTAACTCCTAAGCCCCATGCTATCATAAGTTCATCAACAGTAATTTTTCAATGTAATCTCTGACACTTAAAAAGCAAGTGAAACATTTTTTTTAAAATTAATGAAATTTTAATCAGCAGTGCAGTAATCAAGTAATATATATATATATATATATATATATATATATATATATGTGTGTGTGTTTCATAATAAATCGTCTTTATACCTTATGAACAATAGTTTAAGAATATAATTCTTTATAGTTATGTCTTTTTAGAAAACTTAGTGAAATGTATATTTTTATTTATGCTACGCTATAAAATAAAAAATATAGTGCATTCTTGGTTTTCAAACGTCTCACATGTTGAACAAATCGATTTTTGGGCAATATTCAAGATGGAAATACCTCAGTTATCAAACAAAATTTTGGTTCTTGAACAACATTGCCGAACCGAGTTAACCCGAACATTCATGTGTTGTGTTGTGCTGTGCTATTCTTTTCCAATTTTATTGTACTGTACCTTTTTTCTCTTTATTAGTCCTCAGTCATGGCTCCAAAGAAAGATAGCAGTGATACTGGTAAAGGAAAAAGAAAAGAGAAAAACAAGTGTTGATAATATTGTCTCTTCCTACTCAGTTTCATATGGCAAAATCAACGTTCTATACTATTCTTATAAATAAAGAGACGATGCCTTTCCTTCCCTTTTCCAAACAATAACATCTCTTTCCTTCCCTTGTGTATGAACTTATGCACAAAGTACTGTTGTTAAAGTTTAAATAAGCAATCATCTTGGAACCACGAATGAATTAATCCATTTTACATTGATTCCTATTGGAAAAATAGTTTCGGTTTACAAACATTTCAGGTTACGAACTGGCTTCAGGAACAAATTAAATTTGTGAACCGAGTTTCCACTGGAATTAAAAACTAGTGAAATGCTATTATTTAATTTAATTCATTACTTTATTTTTTTATTATTTATTTTTTTTAATTATTTTCTTACCTGTTTGATGTCATAAAAATATTTAATTGTATCCAATGAGGTTTTGTTTTTTGTTTTTAATTGTGAATTTAAGAATTAAGAGTTATTGAATTATCATATAAAATATTATTCTTTTGATAGGAAAAAGTAGTTAGTCAAAAGAGGTAATTTTTTTTTTCTAACAGTTGCAAAAACTAAAAAAAATAAATAAAATCCTTTTTAAAAGCTTCATGCTTGAAAATGGCATTAAACTTTACATTTTTAGATTGTTCAAACATGTCTTTATTTAATAAAACCAAACATGTCATGAAATGCCACTGATTGAATTTCAAAATTGTACCAAAAACAATTTAAAAAAAAAAAAAAATCTTAAAGTAGATTTTTTTTCCTGTCCAATCCTAAAGAAAATAATGTTTTATTAAATTATGCTAGCACCTGTGTTGAGCCCAAATGTAAAAAAAAAAAAATTAAAATTAAAATAATTTATTTGCTTTCCTTTAAAACCTAATATCTCTTTTTCTCTCTCAACTAATGAGAAAGCAACTCTCAAAGAAAAAAAGTGGAAGCAGAAGAAAAGATTAAACAATGGCTGTGAAACAGTAGTTTGTTAGTTCAAGGTCTAGCTACTATGACTAAAAATCTACCAAAATAACAAAGGCTCCACGAATAAATTCCACTATATAAAAAATGAAAAAGGAACACTGAAAAATAAAAGAATTTTGGCCAATCAAAAAAAATAAACAAAGAGGCTTTTGCTGTTAGCCAAAACTAAGCTTTGGGTCAAGTAGTATAGAGCCCCTTTTTAAGTGTATAAAGTGACAGATGACAGGCCAACAGGAGAGAAGGAAGAGCCAGAGAAACCAGCTGACCATGTTGCGTGAAGAAACTAAGCAGTCATCTGCTTAGAACATTTTTCTGCTCTTCTGAGGGCCAAGAAAACACAGCAGATTGACATCAGCAACAAGTTTCCAAAGTAACCACACTCTCAAGCCAAACAGACTTTTGACAACCCAAATTACAAAGAACTTGCTCCAGTCAAAGTCAGATAAATAAGGATAGTATTTTTTATGCTTTATTCTGTTTGTTTATTCCAAGAAATATTACTAAGAGCCTCTGGCACTTTCCACACACCAACTCTCAAAAAAAGTTATTTTTTGTGTTTATTGAATTGTTTTTAGTAAGGTTCAGGGTAAATATTCATACCTTTTGCTGAAATAACATTTTCAGGGATTATGTTTTATATAACTGAAAAATTTGGTCCATCTCCAAATTAAAAACATACCCATGAGGCATCAAAATGGTGTGTGTGTGTGTTTGAGGGGGGGCTGACCAAAAAAAATATATATTGACAGTTTTCTAATAAAATGACTGATTCAGTCTACAATTCATTCATTAATGAATAAGTACTGAAGACTTCATTTAAATCTGATATTTCTCTGCTTTCTTGAAAATTTCTAAAAACTGGGTAGCAAATTTAAAAAAAATTTTTTTTGCTTTCATTTTGGAAAAAAATGAATCCATTTTGGTAGTATCTTGTAGAGAATAGTTCTAATGGCTGCATTCTTTTTTGCATATTTTTTGTAATCTGAAAGATTTTTGTGTCTGTGTACAAAAATTCATCAAGAAGATTACTTTTTGTCTTTATTTTGATAGTTTCATGGAAAAGATTCTCATTTTTGAAATTGGTATTGAATTTAATATTTAGAGACCTTCTTAGATATAAGAGTTCTTTCTCTATAGTCAGTTAATTCTTTGCACTGCTTTTATGACTGTTTGAAATACTATAATAAAATGCAGATAAAAGACAACATACTCAACACCAAGCAAAAATTCCACTTGTAGCTAGTCAGAATGTACCAGTGAAAACACCAAGAAAACAAGATGAGGAAAGTTAAATGCATTGAATATTAAAAACTTCTTCCAAAATTTCAGGCAAAAAGGTTTTGAAAAAAAGGGGGATCATTCAAAAAAAAATTAATTGAATATAAATCCATTGTACAGTCTTACTGGTGCAATGCTCCCATGTCTAATCACTGAAAACAATTACACAGTCTAACATGTAAACTGAATATGCTTATTTTGAGTAACCTTGAACAAGCCATTTGTTGCTCTTCACTGCTGATGTGTTCTTTTCCATAAGCAGTTCTGAAATAGTGAAATTTCCTCAAAATGTTTAGGAATGGTATAACAGAAATTGGTCAATTCAAGGGGTTAATAATGCCTCATCTCAAAATTACTGAAAATTTTTTCTCTAATTTTTATTTCTTTTCACTTTTTATCTAAAATCAAAATTCCTTGATGCAGTTATCTGAAATATATTTGGCTTTAAATAGGGCACCTCGAGGTGGTGTAATGGTTAGCAAGCTTGTCTCGCTAGAACAATTACAACTGAGTAGTGAGTTCGATCCTCACTGGGTGCCCCATACTTTCAGCCTTGTGCCACATCTGAGCTATGCTTGGAAAATCACTATATTTGACTTGAAATAACCCACAAAGGTTTGATAAGCTGTAAAAAAACAAATCAATCAAAAACAATCCTTGATGCAGTTACTCTTCATCATTCAACATGCTCAAAGACACCCCATAAATATTTACTCGCAAAGTCTCACTGTTTGTGTGACTTCTTGCATTACTTGCAATGATGTCAAACTATGGCAGAGTATATATGGGGTGGGTTTGTTGAAGGATTAGAATATGACTGACTGTTAAACAATAAAAAAAAAAAATTTGAAAATGATTTTTGCAAAGATGAATCTCTTAATTCATAACCAAATATTTGATTACAATTTGTTCAGTGAGCTAATTTTCTCCATTTTTGTTTTTTCAAATCAGACATTTTTGAAAAATGTAGGAAAATTGTATTTGATTAAATGCAAATTAATTAGTGGTATTCAATGATTTAAATGTGAAACCAATAAGTCTACATCAAACATCTGCTGCTATGTGGGGGTGCTGAAAAGTTCTTAGCCCAATCAAGAAGCCCTTACAGAAAAAAAAAATTTCTATTAGATCATTTTGTTTGGGAAGTGTGTTGAGCTGCAAACTTCACAGCACTCCCTAGTAAACTTGCTAAAAATAAAATTTTTATCTATTATTTACATTCAGATTAATATCCTTATCTTTGTTGTTGTTATCACAAATAAAGATTATTCTTCATGCCAGAAATTCAAACAAAAATGAAAAATATTGTCATCTTGATTTCTTAGATAAAATATTTTTGGTATGATTAATTTTTTTTTCCTTTTTGTTGATGCATTCCAGGTTTTTTTATATTTTACAACCAATAAGTGGTATGGATTGAAAATAAAAATCAACTTCTTATTTATGCTGCTTATTTAATTGTCATATAATATAAAAACAATCTGATGATTCTAATTAAAAACAATAAAAATGAGATGAAAGCAAAACTTGTTAAAATTCATCAATATTTTGTAAATTTTCACTTTTTAATATAAAATATATATACTTGTGTATATTTTATTTATAGTTATCAAACATCTACCCTTGATGATTGTAACTTTTGAGTCAGTCAATCACTTGAACTTTTGTTGATTTAATGAATAAATATAATTATATGCGGCTATATGAGGCATAGTGGAGTAATGGATAGCAACTCGGATTGAGGAGTCAGCCGAATTCATATTCTAGTTGGATCCATGACATTCACTTACATGCTAATACCTCTTGGGAAAGGTATGAATCCTCTCCTAACCCCCCCCCCCCGCACCAGCTATGGTTAAATAGCAGGACAGACTTGGTTCTATAGCCATGGGTGGCAGCTGGTCTAAGAGAAAGTAACCCTGTTTTCAAAACTGTATGTAGCCCATACTATACAGCTAAAGAAAGGATCGTTCACATTGGCTCAATGATCCAATCCTGACTATGGTCGAGGGATGATGATAATTTATGTATATTTTATTTATATGTGCTAATATAAAATATATATTTCATATATATATATATATATATATTCTTATATTTATATGTACTTATATATATTTTACTTATATATATATACTAATATAAAATATTTGAACTTATTAAAGCAAAAGTTGTTTTTCCCAAATACCTATCAATAACATGAAATGAAACAATGCCATATTTAATCTGAGGACTAATAAGAAAAAACAATAAAAATGAGATGAAATCAAAACCTGTCAAAAATTAGCAATATTTTGCAAATCCTTGGGTGGCAACCAGTCTAGGAGAAGGAAACTCTGAATTCAAAACCACCTACTGCCTTGTAAGTCCTGCCTCTTTAGGCAAAGGCTAGAAGAAGGTAACTTAAAAAACAAATCCACCCCTGTGAGGAACCTCAACATCCCTGATGCAAAAGGAACTGGCAAGCCATTACACTACTCTTCCTTGAATATTACCATGAACCACAGTTGTGAAATGGAAGGGATTGGTGAACACAGTAGGGCAAAATGAGCTCACTAAATAAAATGAATGATACTAATATAAATTATTTGTACTTATTAATGATAAAAGTTTAATTTCCCAACTTAGTATCAATGATATAAAATGAAGCCATGCCATATTTTTTTTCAAATTCAAATTTTGTCTTTTATTTCAGGTCTTTACAGTTGAACAGGCTCTACCTCATGTTGCCCATCTTGAAGGGATTTTTGCTAAAAATCTCTTCCTAAAAGATAAAAAGAAACAATTCTATTTGTTTTGTGCACCTCATGATTGTGATGTTAAGCTCAATGATCTGTCAAAACTTGTCAAAGCTTCTGGTGGGCTCCGTTTTGCTGATGAGTCTGTCTTGTTTGAGAAGTTGGGACTGACTCAGGGCTCAGTCACTGTGTTTGGCCTCTTGAATGACACTGAACACAGTGTAAAACTAGTACTGGATGACCGTTTCACCAATAACACTTATACCAAAATTTATTTTCACCCAATGGTCAACACATCAAGCATTGGTATCACTCCACAAGGTCTAATGACATTTTTAAAGTCAACAGGACATGAACCTCTCAAGATAAATCTAATGGAGTAAAAATAAAGTGAGTCATTTGTTATAATCATGGAAAATGCTGTTTGCCAGTTGTTGTTTGTTATCTAAGGACATAAAGTGATTACAATAAGTGACTTCCCCTGTAAAGGATGAATTTTGCATTATATTTCTATGTATATTTTTAATAAATGTTACCAGAAAATTATAATCTTTGCTTTCTATCATATCTCATAACTTCCCAAAGAATTTCTTAACCCATAACTGCCAATGTTACTCTTAGCTTAGTATTTTGCCTCATTCAGGAATTGAACTTGCATGTTTCAAAGAAAGGCAAACTCTCTTTATATTCTGCATCTTTTCTCTCTGTTTACATTCACAACTACAGCTTTCTCAAATATTTTCTTGCTAGTCAATCCACTTTTTTTTTGCTTATTAACCTTTTAATTTTTCTCTTTTTGTGATGTTCTTAAATCCAGTTTTTTTTCTTCTTGGAATTATCTTGACAAAATTTTCAGTTTAATTTTTGAGTGTTCTCTTTTCAACAGTTTGCAATTTTCAATGTGTTCTCATCACACTCAGCAACTTTACAATACAGGGTGTTTCAAAAAGTATACGCCAAAATCATTACACTGTTTTTTCAGGTCTATAGCATTAAAGTGAACTGAATCAGTGGTTATTTGATAGAGTAGTTATCAAAGTTTGATTGGGTGTCAGTTTCACCGCTGTCATTAGTATAACTTCCGGTGCAGCTACAAACAGGACAAACCTATCTCGAAATGCTCCAAAAATGGCTATTCACTTTACTGCAAGCAGATTCAAATGACTTCATTTCTCAGCAAGATTGAGCACCACTCCATTGGCATCTTGGGGTTAGAGCTTATCTGAATGAAAACATGCCTCAGCGATGGATTGGGAGGAGAGGTGCTAAAGACCTTGCTCTCTGTGCTTGGCCTGCCAGATCCCCAGTCCTCACTGTGTGTGACTTTTTCGTGTGGGGGTATGTTAAAGACCAAGTTTATGTTCCAGCACGTATCGATGACTTGAAAAATCGAATAACAGCTGTAATCAACATGATGGACCGTGACATGCTGAGGCACGTTTGGGAGGAATTCTTATATCGGCTTGATGTTGTCCACGCTGCCGGTGGTGGCCACATTGAGCACTTATAAAACATGAAATGAAACTTGAATGTATATATAACACATGTGTTCATGCTAGAGGTTTGTAATTTTTTTCGTTTTTGACATATCATGTGATGATTTTGGCGTATTCTTTTTGAAACACCCTGTATTTTGTTACTTTTTGAGATTATACCTTTATCATGACCCACTGAAGTCTTTGTTTGAAACCAAAAAAAAACAAATATCAGTAACTATACTAATATTTATTTACAGCATGAATCTTAGACCACCAAATAAATTATTGCAAATATTTCTCATCAAAATATACAAACTGAAATTCACATGGTATATCCTGAAAATTTCACTAAAATTAGTTGGTTCATACGAATTCCATTGTAAACATATTGACTTGCATAATAAAATCTCACACCATCTCAACATGGCCTTTCTAGTAGGTATCCAATCTGCCCTAGTTTACACTGCAAAAATATGCCAAAATAGTGAAATTTCCTTTAATTTCAATTGCTGATATCTCATTTATATTCAAGGTTAATTTAGTAAAATTACTATGTAAACAAAATTTAATCTTTTCTCTTTATAAAGCTACAATTATTTCTCGTATGTGAGCATTAGTTTTTATTCCATGCCTCTTTAAATTATGTTACTATTTCAGCAATGGGCACGTTTTTTTCAAAGCTATTAATTGTGGTGTTTTTCAAATTTGTTGCATTCAGTGTTGTGTGTCTCTACACACCTCAAAATTATCCCATCTTAAAATGGCTTGTATCACCAATGGATAATGTTTTTATGGCAAATTCAGAAAGGCATACTTTTGGCTGTTTTTTACATGATGTAAATATAAGTTTGTTTATTGATGTACTACTGAAGAAAAAAAATTAGCTTCATTTTTATTGTGTTATTAACTGTTGAAATGAAACTTATCTGGGCAGTCAAAATTGCCCTTCCATGTCATTTTTTTAAACACAATTTTTCCTCAAGGTTTAGGCTTGTCAAATCTAATAATTATTGATTCCATTTGTATTATCTTTTTTACTTCAAGACTACCTACATGGCATTACATTTCTAATAATCTTCCACTTGTTTGAAGCCTCCATCTTTAGTTATATACAGTTGAAATTGACTTCTTTCATAATAGCACATGAGGTAGGAAATTTCCAAAGCTCTAATGAACATGAATGGTCATAAATTGCCTGATGAGTTAACAAAATAAATTTAGTACCATTGTTTATTTTTTGTAAAGCCCCCTATGTCTGTATTAAGGTTTTAGATATATTAAAAATAAAATTTTGGTTTGGGATACCTATTTCTAGTGATTTTTCAAGTTTTTGAGAGAACTCTTATAATTATGATTATTCCATATATATATATATATATATATATAATCGACTCTCCCGTCGAGATTTGACGTATGAGGGTCAAGCAGATCAGTTTCCAGGAAACCGACAGCCCAACACCGGCACATGAGATTTGATTATTGTGGTGAAGGCCTCGTGCAGGACCATCCACACTTTTTGAAGGGACGAATACAGAGACCTGGTGCACCGAATATATATATAAGAAGGAGGATTTGGTTCTTGTAGGTCTGAACAATAGGTAACTTTAACACTATCAATATTACAAACAGTTAAGTAAAGACTGAATTCAGACAAACTGAGGCATATATCACTTTAACATTTGTCTATATTTCTGAGATGAGATATTATAACTATTTACATTGTTTGGGTTGTTGTCCTCATCTTTATTGTAATATTCACAACATTTCTTCAGGTGATATACATTGGAATTTTGAACTGAACCCTTTATTTACTCCACTTGGGTAAATTGTTCTCATTCCACGTGCCATGACTTTTCTGGATATCTCAGTCATGAATATGACAATAAAGATAAGGACAACAGTCTGAACAATGTAAATAGTGTAAATATATTACTTCATCATTAACTTCCGCTAGAGATTGGACCAATTCATCTTTGAATAATGAAGTGTACACATAACGTAATAGCCTATCTTCATCTTTGTTGTTCTTATTTCAGCATTTCACAACAGCCTTGTGATTATTCTTACAATTAATAATTTTCAAAGAATTTTGAACAGAATCTGTTATATTTTGTCCAGAAATCACCATAATCTTTTGTTCTTTGATCATGCAGGTATGAAGTCATTGAAACTGAATTTATAATATTGGTAAGATAAACTGATTCATAATTGTAATCATTTGTGACAATAGATCATTGTTCCACATAAAAGTGTCAGGATCAATTTACATTAAAATTAAACAAACTTGTGTAGGCAAAGGGATTTTGTATTTTTACTTAATATACTTTCACTTATGTATATTTGATAACCTTTTCTATTGCTTGAATTTAACAATCTTACTTCCTGTTGACATATCCTTTTAGATAAAATTTACCTGTTGATTATAATAATTTGGGGGATCTGATATATTTTTGTGGACATGAAAATGAGACTAACCTCAGTTCTCGGCATAAGAGAGTTCGTTTGTGTCTGGCGTGTAGGGCAGTAATTGGTCCGAAGAAAGAAACACCACCATTACGGTGAGAAAATTCGACTTATGGAAATGCGATCTCTCAAGTATAGACAGATTGGCGAGAGGAGAACTTGGGCGTAATCAAATTGGTTGGTGTTAAGCTGGGATAAATGTGACGGCGGAGACCACTCGAGAGAGTTGTGTGTAGCGAACTAAGGCGGTGTGTTGGAACATTTGAGTGCAAAGATCTGTGGAGTTGTTGTAGCTGGATTGTAAATATCGTTAAGCTGAGGAGTGTTTCGAAGTAGGCGATTGCGGGCCAACCGTTCCGTCCCTATTGTTTGGACCTAATTTTCTAGACCAACCTGTTCCCTTCCTATTGTTTGGACCGACCCGACAAGCTATTTCTGCATAATGGGGACAGATTTTACCTGAAATTGATTCCGGAGTTCGATGGCTCAACCCCGGTACTTGACTGGGTGGAAAAAGTGGAATTACATTGCCTCTTGTCTGGCATAAAGAACATTGAACATGTTATTCCTCTGCGGCTGTCTGGCGGGGCTTTTGTGCTGTGTATCAACAGCTCAGTGCTGAGGAAAAACAAGATTATAAGAGAATCAAAACGCAGCACTATACAAGGCGTTTGCTATCGACCCGCCACTGCATGGGGAACAATTCGAGGCAAGAACTTTACTTCCAGGCGCAAACTGTCGACGTGTATCTGGCCGAGCTGACGAAGTTAGACGGTGTTGTTTAGATGGACTGCCCGAGCGTGCCTTTTGCATACAAATTTCTGGCAGGGCTCCCAACAAGCAAAGCAACTCCTGCAGTGAGCTTAAGCATAGACTCGTTGTCCCTTAATGACCTGGTAGACCGGGCCAGGACCGTGATGAAAGACAGCTCTGAGGTGAGAGAACCCGGTAGTCGCCGCTGCACAGTCCACGCCGAGTGATGATAGACCGTTTAGGGGCCCAGCCCCGTGGTAGGGGGTCGTATGTTAAAAGGTGCGGTGGCCAGGGCCACATTACTAGGAACTGCAGGAGGCGACTGACAGCTGTTCGCTGCTACCGTGTAATGAGACTGGACATTTGGTCCGGGATTGTGTGGGAAATAAAGGCGGGGACAAGGTGCCAGCGTCGACCTCTTCCCCAAGCAGAAATTAGATGAGGCGCTTCCGATCATCCAGGTCTACATTAATGAGACATTGTGCTCAGCACTTCTTAATTCCGTTGCTCCGCACCATAGTGTCGCGGACCTCTGCCGCACTTGGAAGAAGAAGAGTGTCAGGGTGACCACCATCAGTGGAGAAACACGAAGGTGTTGCGGGGTAGGCGCGGTGAACATCCGTGCAAGAACTGGAAACTTCGCCAACGTCGGGACCGCTAGTAGTGTTCGAAAAACCACTGAGTTTTGA